GGAGGGGGAGGGGGGAGGGGAGGAAGGGGGGGGCGAGTTGGAGACTGAGAACGCGAGCAGGCAGCACGGCGGCAGGCAATGAGCAGCTTAGGAAGGAGAGTGGGTCAGTGGGAGGAAGGGTCGGGAAGGATGGGAAGAGGAATCGTATGATGAAAGGACAAAATGGGGCGTCAAAAGGGGGGCCGTTGTCACCAAAAGACCCCCCCGCGCACACTCCACCAAACAATGTGCATGTGACCAACGTGCTCTAGAAGGGGGCTCTTAGGAGGGCGAAAATGAGGCCCGAGAAGAGGACATGTTGCGGCGTGGGGGGCAGAGTAATAGACAGGGCATGACGCGGCGTAGGGGCCATGACGTACATACATACATCCAGAAGTGCGCCGCGGCGTATATACGCACCCCTCCCTTTTCTCGTCAGCACACTCACCCTCCCCGAGCATGTCAAGCAGCTTAACATCGTGGGTGCCGTTGCCGCTCTGCTTGATGCTGATGTAAATAGTAAATCGTTAGGAAAAGTAAATCGCAAAAAAGGGAGGGGAGCGGGATAAAGGGGAGCAAGGTTTTTCCTTGTAAGCAGAGGGCACTGCGGAAATCAACAGATTTAAAGATCTTTAAACCCAGATCATACCATCCTTTAATTAAAAAAAGCGTGTGCGTGGATTGTCGCCACGGCAAACCAAGAACACACACACATACACACATATATTCACACAATACTTCAGCGGTTGTTCCCGTTGGGGTATGATTAGGTGCCCCTGGCCAGCGTCAGGCCGTCGGATCGATAAATAATAAAACACACAGACACACACACACACACGGGTCATGCAGGGTTTTTCAGAGCAGCATTTATCCCCCCACACACAACCCACCTCCGCGATCCCGTCAGTTGCCGTCGTACAGCCTCGATCCGGTCCACCGTGGCACTCTCACGTGAAAGGTTCGAGATCTGCGAACCGCCCCCCGCGAGTTGCAAACGGCGCTGAAGTACCGCTTCATCACCCTCCCCGACGGCGCTCAGCAACTCATCCTCTTTGCCGAACAACTCAATCAGGTTGCGCTGCCGCTGCAGCAAGGCGTCCATAACGAGTTTCTCGGCCTCCAGCTTCCGGCGACCCCCCTCCGCTTCCTCCTTCGCAACCGCTAACAGCCGGTTCGTTTCCTGGAACACACGACCGACAGCAACAGCAGCAGCAGCAGCGCGGTACAGCAACAGCGCGGTACAGCAACAGCAGCAGCAGCAGCGCGGTACAGCAACAGCAGCAGCAGCAGCGCGGTACAGCAACAGCGCGGTACAGCAACAGCAGCAGCAGCAGCGCGGTACAGCAACAGCGCGGTACAGCAACAGCAGCAGCAGCAGCAGCGCGGTACAGCAACAGCGCGGTACAGCAACAGCAGCAGCAGCAGCGCGGTACAGCAACAGCAGCAGCAGCAGCAGCGCGGTACAGCAACAGCGCGGTACAGCAACAGCAGCAGCAGCAGCGCGGTACAGCAACAGCGCGGTACAGCAACAGCGCGGTACAGCAACAGCGCGGTACAGCAACAGCAGCAGCAGCAGCGCGGTACAGCAGCAGCGCGGTACATCAACAGCGCGGTACAGCAACAGCAGCAGCAGCAGCGCGGTACAGCAACAGCAGCAGCAGCAGCGCGGTACAGCAACAGCAGCAGCGCGGTACAGCAACAGCGCGGTACAGCAACAGCAGCAGCAGCAGCGCGGTACAGCAACAGCAGCAGCAGCAGCGCGGTACAGCAACAGCAACAGCAGCAGCGCGGTACAGCAACAGCAACAGCAGCAGCAGCAGCGCGGTACAGCAACAGCAGCAGCAGCAGCGCGGTACAGCAACAGCAACAGCAGCAGCGCGGTACAGCAACAGCAACAGCAGCAGCAGCAGCAGCAGCGCGGTACAGCAACAGCAGCAGCAGCAGCGCGGTACAGCAACAGCAACAGCAGCAGCGCGGTACAGCAACAGCAACAGCAGCAGCAGCAGCAGCAGCAGTGGCGATGGCGACGCGGTGATGGCTAAGAGAGGTAACGGCACGTGCGCGAATTTTCAATGTCATCGCCTCAGCGTTTTGGAAATGTTTCTGGTTCTCCAAAAGGTTCGGAACTTGACGTTTGCAATTTGAATAGGATTGACGGATGAAAAAGCAACGCTACTTATTAAAGCTCGGTCTTCTAATCCAATCCCACGAACAACCCCGAAACACTAATAAGACCCCTTTGCGAACGTTCTCTTAAAACATATGTAACATTAAAGCCACTTCAGTACAGTCTCAGTACCCACCAACTGCTGGGCGAGATATTTGACTGCTTGGTGTCGGCTGCGCAGCACGAGCCCCACGAGCACCGCCAGTACGACAGACAGCGACGTAACGCCTACGATAAGGCCCTCTCGCCATGCAGGCCCGAAGCCGCCATCCGGCTGCACGCAAAGCGTCCAGTACATCCATCCGTACACGTCCACCCGTACGACCTCGCACTCCGTGGGGTCGGGCAGCTGTCGTGTGATGCGATTAGGGAGGGAGGGGAGGGGAGGGGTGTGTGTGTATGTGTGTGTGCGCGAGTGTACGTATGCGCGATTGTAAGTATGTCTGTGTTTTGATGGCCTGAGCCGCGACGAGTATGTAGATGCGTGTGTGTGTGTGTGTGTGTGTGTAGATGCATGTACATAAGATTTGCATCCATACAGTACAGCAGCATGTGGGCGAGCATATGTCGCGGGAAAGATATCTACATGTCCACGCTGTAGCAAGTCCGCGCTGTAGCAAGGATTCACAGCCATTTTGTCCCTCCCGACCCCCCAATCACCTTGTCACTCATTGCCAAAAAGGACTGGTTTGGGGCTCGCGGGTCGGGCGACAGCGTGAACAGCAAGTTCCGATTTTCGATGACCTTGAGACTTGGGGCCACGGTTTTCCAGGCGAACACAGCCTGTTCGAGGTTTTAGGGTTTTAGGGTTTTATTGCCTGAATTAAAGTTTAAAAACTGAATAAAACTGGCCACTACAGGTGCACACCAAGGCACTACACTCTTTCACATAAAGGGCCCCCCTTTCCCCCCCCCCCGTCGTGGCGACCCGGGAGCTCAAAACCCGCCGTACGGCCCCTTTCAGCAGGCCTTTTCCCCCGACAAATAGCCCCTCAATGCACCCCCAGATCCCCCCCAACATACAAATCTTCCCCATTGCAATCTCGAGAAGGGAGAGGAAGACTAGCCGATAGCTAGCCAAATCCCGAAAGCAAGGAAACAGCCCCCACGCAGCACTGACCCATGGGTCACGGCTAGCTACCCCACGCTTACATTGGACCAGCCCCACCAAGTCAGCCCGTCGGGGGTGTTGCAGACTTTCTGGGGACAGTACTGGATAGAATCTGCAAGGTGCAAGCCGAAGCAGAACAGGTAGGGTGCCCGTACATAAGCGGGGGGGGGAGGGAGAGAGAAAGGGGAGGGGCCGTGGAAGGGCCCGGAGGTTAAGCGAATAGAGGCCGAAATTAGAGAGACAAAAGACATCTAAAAGACCCATGCTCCATTCCCCATCGGAAAGAAAGCGAAAACAAACGTGCGGGCGGTCTACGTGGCTTTGGGAGGGAATGGAATTCCTCCTCCTCCTCGCCCGACCCATGGGTCATTCGCATTCGCATTCGCACCCCACTCGTCCGGCCGGCGGATCATTCGTTCTTTACTGCCTAATAAGACCTTCCCGGACTCCTTCCCAACGCAAATGGGTCACTTTACCTAGTCGGCAACCGACCCATGGGTCACGACCTACTGCAATACACAATTCCAACCCATGGGACTCCCCCACTCACTCGGTGGCATGTCCCAATCGCCAGGCGGCAGGAAGATGCTGTACCGCACCACAAAAGCACCCGAGGACAGCTCTCCGTCGGCATACCAGGGCCCCAACAATGCAATGGAGCCGTTTTGCAAAATGGCCGCGATTTCGTCTTTGCTGCAAAGGGCAGATATGAATAATATGAAGACACACAAGTCAGGAAAAATCAATTCGCCCTATTATAGTCTCCTTTCCTCGGGCAGTACGTGATAAATACAATGTTGGGGTTATAAATGCGCCAGGGCAGGGCAGGGCAGAACCACTGCTACTACTACTACTACTACTGCTACTACTGCTACTACTGCTACTACTGCTGCTACTACTACTACTACTACTATCATCAATACTCCTAACACTAATAATGGTCTGTTCGGATCCCGTCCGCCACACCATTCAATTAGCAGTTGTTTCTCTTCAAAAACACCAATTGCAAAAAGAGGAGCGAGGCTTGGGTGTTTGAAGATTGTGAAAACCCCCCAAAACCTAAGGGGACATTAAAAGTCACCACAAAAGATGTTCACGAGTTCACAAGGCACATGGAAAGGTTTGGGTAAGGAAATCCGGTGAAGGGTTTTCGGAAACGTTTCGGAACACAGTACGGCGCTATAAATACGCGCGGAGCGCGACCACCAGCAACTCGAGAGACCTTTTCAGCTTCCAGCTGCTACAGTAATAAATAGGAGTACTACTTTACTTTTGCTAATGATAAAGTCCTCTCGTTTTACTCGTTTTAATTACGATACCCGTGCGTTACGATTTCCTTCGTGCCCCCTACTGCTCCCCACATTCCGTACACAACATCCGTACTCCCCATCTATTATTTCCGTACCGCAAAACCTGGATGTTCCCCTCCCCATACCCCTTCCCATACGTAGATTTTGTCCCTCGAACCCACGAATCTGGTACTAGAAGCCTGATGGCGGCTCACCCACCTCATCACCTCATCCGATTTCAACACGAAACACAGCACCGGCATGCACAGCCTCCCTCATGTATCTTTGTTGCATTCTTTGCATATTTCACGATTTTCCCATCCCCATTCCCTCCACCATTTTCCCATTTTTGCCCGTTCCAGTATTTTGTTTATGTGGACTGCATTATATAAAATGCACCACTGCAGGCAAGTACACAGATTCAATTCACTGCCTCTTCTCATCGTCATCGTCAACTATTACTCACAAGCTGCCTCGGTTGGGATCTAACATGTCCAAACCGAAGTCAAACGTCTTCAGAATGCGTGGCCACTCCTCCGCAGTAATGTTGCCCGTAGCGTTCATCCACGCTGCGTGTGGGTCCCCAAGGGCATGTGCACGGGAGTGAGAGGCGGGGCCGGGGAAGGGTTAGGTGCAAGTACGGTGTGTACGGCACAAAAAGTAATTGCCGTACGGCAATGTGTGCGACAGTAATGGCAAAGACGATATGGTCACCAGTTGTAATCAGCGCGCGAGGAATAAAATGGCGAGCGAAAATGGCGGCAAACGAAAATGGCTGTTTCGTTGGTTGAAGGTTGAATATACTGAACTGCAAATATGCAACAGCAGCAGCAGCAGCTGCTGCTGCTTTTGCTGTATATTCATGGAGGGAGCGCATGTCATCGTATAGGCTGATGGATATGAAGCAGGAGCATACACGAAAACTGAATCCGCAGGCCGCACGTGCTCCCTAAAAATGTGATCGATAGGATCGAACTCCCTCGAATGCGAGACAACCTTGGATATTGAAATGTGCACGTGCGCATTGTACGGCGCGAAACGTGTCGTACTCACGCATTGCCATTGCGCCCACAATGCCGTACGGGCAAAGCTCAATCTGGTAATACCTGTTTGACCTGGGGGTAATGGTGGCGAGAGTAGCGCCCAAAGACGATCGGGACAATCGTACATTACATAGTGTGTACGGATGGGTATTGTACGAATGCGGGAAAACATGCGGGACGAGCATGTGTATGTCCTCGTGTATTTTCAGCAACGGGGTTGGTTGCCCACTTACTCTCCGTTCCCCCCTCTCCCCCCCCACACAATGACAACGCATTGTTTGCTTCCCCCTCCGCCTTCCAAACCCCTTAAATACTCTAAAACCCTAATTGCCAACGTACAATACCCTGTAGTACTCCTCCCTGCACCGCCGCTTCCCTCTCGCTTCGTCATCTCCGCGCTCTTACAAAAACTCCCAAGCTCTTACAAATTGTACGGCGCGATCGTACACTGTTACGTGTCCATGCCGCTTTCCCTCCCCGCCCTCTTTCTCCCCTTGGCCCTCCCCCTCGCCGAATAGAACTGCAAACCTTCAAAATCCGTTCTTCTCCTTCCTTACTTGTATATTGCGTCCGAGAACACGGGGAAGCTCTCATTGACCGTAGGCCAATGGGGTTGCTGTGGGGACACACATTTGCGGTCGAGGGCGGGAGAGAGGGAGGGAGGGAGGGAGGGAAGGAGGGAGGGAGGGAGGGAAGGAGGGAGGGAAGGAGGGAGGGAGGGAAGGAGGGAGGGAAGGAGGGAGGGAAGGAGGGAGGGAAGGAGGGAGGGAAGGAGGGAGGGAAGGAGGGAGGGAAGGAGGGAGGGAAGGAGGGAGGGAAGGAGGGAGGGAAGGAGGGAGGGAAGGAGGGAGGGAGGGAGGGAGGGAGGGAGGGAAGGAGGGAGGGAAGGAGGGAGGGAAGGAGGGAGGGAAGGAGGGAGGGAAGGAGGGAGGGAAGGAGGGAGGGAAGGAGGGAGGGAGGGAGGGAGGGAGGGAGGGAAGGAGGGAGGGAAGGAGGGAGGGAAGCAGGGAGGGAAGGAGGGAAGGAGGGAGGGGAATAAACAAGTAAAAACCAACTGGCGGGGTTAGCCGAAAGACCGTCGAGGAAGGGCCTATTACTGGCACGGACGGACAGTCTGTCGAGGGGGGGAGCCCCGTGTGCGTGTGAGGGTTAGCGGGGGAGAGAAAATACACACACACGACTGACGCATCGGGTTGCGGCAGCGCCCGGCTTGGAAAGCGGACAGAGAGAGAGGGGAGAGAGAGGGGAGAGAGAGGGGCGAGAGAGGGGACAGCGTACGGAGGGCGTATCCTCGCTTTCTCTGGGCGGCAAATATCAAGCCCGGGAGAGGATCCATTCCAATCTCCGAAACCAAACCAAAGACAGCCCCTCCACAAGGCTCTGCTGAGGCATGCTGCTACCCTCGCCTACACCCCCCCCCCAGGGGGCTCCCCCAGGGGGCTCCCCCAGGGCTCCTTGATGACCGTTCAGAAAAAGCAGGAGCAGCTTCTTCGTGCGTGCGCTGTGGGCGCCCTGCCTGTCCACACGCGCGAAATATTTTCTAGATGCGACATCGGGGGGGGGGCTGTCATCCTGGGGTTGCTCCTCCTCCCGTCTCCTCCCGTTCGAGCTGTTGCAAGACACGCAGTAGGGGGGGTTTCATGAAAGTAAGGGAGAAGTATGGAACGCCTACCAGGTGCACGAGGTTGGCGAGGCTCATGACAGGAGCGATGAGATGGTCCAGAACTGTTTCGATGGCGCGGGCGGAGGATCGCGCCACGTCAGCTGCGGCTCGCCGCGCGTCCCGATTCACGGAGCGCGCGTAGAGGATGGAGCCCGTGATTGCCAGGACCTCAAATACGATAAGTACGGCAAGAGCCCACCAGACGTAACTGGCCACTCTGAAGAAGCAGCGCTGCTCGATGGATGGCAGCCCCTTGGGAGGGGTGGGGGAGGAGGAGGGCAGGGCTCGGTTTGTCGGTGTTTGTTTGAAGATTGGGGAAAGGGGCTACTATGAGCTCATCGCCAGGTGAGCGGGCGTAAAGCGTGTGGAACACGTCTTGGTGAATACGTATTGGTGTCGGGATGAGGGCTTTGTGCATAGATGCGTCATGAATCCAAGTTGCTCGGATGAAGCATGGAGATTGGACTATATATTAAACGTGCATGGGGGAGCTGGATCCTGCGTGATTACGACGTGTGCAGAAGCGTACCCGTCCTCTTTTCCATGGGATGAGAGTCTGCTTGGGCACCTCGGTTGCGGAGGTGTCGTCCGATTCCAAGCGACGAGCTGCAGCTCCTTTATCCGATCTTGTGGAAGCGGGCACGGCATCCTCAGAGTCGTCTTCAGATAATTTCGTTGTTCCAACCTTCTCTTTAGTAGCCTCAGAAGGCGCGGTTTCAAAATTTGTAATGCTAATTACAGTCGCATCTTCCGTGACAATTCCAATTTGGCCATCGGCTACACTATTGAAGCCCCTCTGGGCTTCAAGGCTGGCTGTCATGGGTATTAGGTAAGTTGGGCTAGCCTGGGAAAACCTCTGCAGCGTCCAGTCCTTCGCTGTATATTCAAGCAAGGTACATGCCGCGATAGGTCGCAAGGGAAAAGTAACCCTTGGTCGGGCAGGGAGTTTAGAGGGTAAATTGTGTACACGCTGGTAATGCTTATACAAAGATTGTTAATGGAGGCAAGGTTAGGAACAACAAAACAACCAAGACTCGATTAGGGTCCGTGCTGGGACGGCACAGCCATTGCAGCGTGCAGGATGGATGGATCATGACCTGTTGCCCATGCCGTTAATGGCGTACAGGTTGCATCGTTGGGTAATACACTTCTTTCGCTTCTTAACGATCAGTCTTGTGCATTACAGTCTGTGGCATTCTAAAGCTGAAATTGTGCATTACGTGTATCCAGTGTTGACACGGCAGCTCAGCTGCCTCTGGTATGAACTCCTCTTTCGATTGAGAAGTCTGCATGACGCAAACAGCCGCGGATGTGGCAGCCATTCGTCAGCATCGTTCTCAGTGGCTTCAGTTACGGATGCAAGTGGACTAGCGCTTTCCTACTGCCAGTGAACTTGTCAATGAAATTCAGCGTGTTTTTGCCGCATTGTGTCTGGGTCGATGGCGGCGTCCTCTTGGTGACGTCAATGTCGCGGATAAAAGATGAAGCCCTAGAAACCGCAACACGATCAGCTTACGCAGCCCAAGCGACCTTCAAGTGCTTTCATGTCTCATCCCCCTCCAGGACACCAGGCCGAAGCTGCATACTTACAAGACTGTGGAGACATTGCCCGGCATTTCCAACGGCCTTGGAACGCGAGAATGTGGATAAAAAAAGCAAGGATACCGCGCGTATCTTGATAGATTATCCCGTCAGGTCTCGCGTCACCTACACCGTCCTTTGTACCAAAACGCGACAACCGCTCTGGAGACAACATACTCACCACGTGCAGCAGGGATAACATTCGGGTCAACAAAGTCTAGGATGAAACATCGTGAGGAGCGCTATGGAACAAGGCAGAACGCAGCTGTTATGCCATTCCAATCCGGCTCCTTAACAACCGCGCGCTTTTCTACATGTCTATGGTTGTCCACGGCCGGCCACACAGGTTGAGGGAGTGCGCATGTATTGTGTGTGTGCTTGTGTAGTGCGTATGCGTGTAGATGTGCCTATGTGTATATCAGTTACCCCAAACAGCCACTCCCCCGTAGCGAGCAGTGCCAGCAGCAGTAATAAGCGACTTAAAATCCTTGTGGCAGCGGTTACCTTCAAACCTCATCACCCACCAAATGCGTTTCAGTAATGACAAGTACGTCATACTGTGTGGCTAGATGTCCCAACCCATTACTCTCCAGCTTCCAAGTTTTTTTCGCACCTCAGAATGCACATGCCGTTCGCGTTCACGTTCGCTAATATCTACCCCGTTTTCCCATCGGGACTGCTTGTTCTGCTCACAGAGCTGAGTGTACGTGGGGTACTCCAGCGCGGGTTAGGGCCTCCCTCATATGTTGATGTTATTGTTGTTGTTGTTTCAGAGTGGGAGGCTTCTGGGGCCACTCGAACACATTGCCATTTTTACGATTTATCATACCATTCAGCACCATCCAACATTACCACACTGTACCACACTGTACCACAGACCATGTGTGCGGTAAAGCGTACCGGCCCCAGAGTTGTTAGCGTTTTCCGATTTATCGGTGCGACGTGAACGTCGACCAGCGGAGTGGGTCCCCGGCCCCCCCCCCCGACCGTTCGCCTGGGCAGTCCCCGGCTTTGGCACGCAGGGGCAGCACGTCGAAGGATATCTTGGCCCCGGGGGGGCGGCCTGAAGTGTCTCCTTCAGAATGCTCGCGGTAGTGGCAACGCGGTCCTTGGGCACCTCAAGGAGAAACCTGTGTCCGGGTAGAACATAATGGCTCCGGCTGTGGTCGTGCGCGCTGGTACTCTGCTGTACTGGGACGCTGAGCAAGATTCCGTACTGCATCGCTGAGCTATACTTGCAGGGCTATATTTGCGCCTTTGCTTCGTCGAAACTGGCCTGTTTAGCTGTGGTAATCGCCATTCCATTTCTGCGTCTCTTAAGGATAAATGGTTATGGCTTACGTTTTCTAGGAGCTTCGGTGTTGGGCACTTTGCCGTGCGCTCATCGTACCAATTTGTGAACTGCGCCGAGTCTGCACCGAGTCAGTGTACTTTACTTCGCTAGCACTTAGTCGCGTTTGTGATAACCTGCTTAGTGTTTAGGCAATGTCTAGAGCATTCCCAGGCTGTGCATACCAACCAACTTGCGTTTCTACGAATACCTGAACGCATTTAGACTGTAATAATGCAAAGAACCCTATACTGTCTTAGATATGACTCTTGCCGCTTAGCTCGTTTCGGCCATCATCCAGTAGCTGATGTGCTTGGTCTGTGCTACACACCGGCTCGCAGCTGCCAGCTGCCCTGTAATGCTAGCGCTGGATTGCCGACTTGTCCTCATCCCTGTCGCGCTGCGTTGCGACGAGGTCGGCGGGCAACCGTGGTGTGCAATGCCGCGGCGAGTGAGTACGGATAATAACCTGTCAATATCCGCGGTCACATCAGAAAAATCCCCCTCGGACTTCGTCGATCTGAATCATCTGACTTACAGGCACAAGTAACTCCATTGCGCACCGCTTTTCCCTCTATGCGCCTCCCCATACATACTGTGGAACGATGACTGATAGTGAAGGCAGAGGGAACCTCCCTGCGATTGCTTCCCTCAAATACCAGGGTCTCAAAATTTACACTTTGCACTTGGGTAGGGTGCACTGTGTGGCTTACAGATGGCGGCATCTGCTGCCAGAGGAAGGAAGGGCGGCTCCGACCGGCAGCCTGTTTGAACCCAAAGGCACCATTCCGCTCCGAAACCCTAGTTATGGCCCGTTTGTGTTATGGCATTACGTCCCTTGCAAGCATTACATGTGTCCTGCGTGCATAACGTTTACATAGCCCTCCTGGCAATTCGTTGATTTATTTGCTGACCGCGTCGTACTCCCTTCAATGGCCATATCCAGAGAATTTCTACGATATCTTGGGCGTCAGTCCGACTGCATCAGAGCGGGACATTAAATCCGCATATCGCAAATTAGCCATGAAGCTGCATCCAGACGTCAATAAGGCGGTGGGTAGGTGGCTGTAGGCAGTGGGTAATTGTCGGTGGCATGATCTCGAATTGGTGGTTCGGGATTCACGACAGCGTATCCAGTGATTTGAGGTGTTTTGGGGGAGGGTTATGGTCCCGCGGGGCCAGTCGGGTTGGTTCATTTCATGCTGGAGGGTGGTTTCGGAGGTCACAGGCCCCGGCTCAGGGCGGCTTTGCGGTGCGTGGGCCGGTAGGTCCAAACTGCCTTAACTGCCAAAACCGTTTGTTGGCCAACCATGTTTTCCCCGTACACCCACGACCTTGATCACCTGAACTGGACTGAAATTGCGGTTTCAGACTGATGTTTCTACACATACTCACTCCGACTTTTCTCCTTTGCATCACGGCTCCGGAACTGGCAACAAATGTCGTAACCATTGTACGGCTGTGGTGTTGACCCCCAACAGCCAGACGCTCAAAAGCGCTTCATGGAAGTCAAGGTAGCGTACGAAACGCTTTCGGACTCCAAGCAGCGCGGCGAGTACGACAGGCGGCTTCGTATGGTGAGCTTGGCGAGTACGGCAAACAGAGCAAAAGCCACACCTGTTGCATCGTTGATATGCACATGTGACACATCTTTGAGTCGTTCAGGCGAAGAGCTGAGTGTGCATCGCTTCTTGTACGGCGCGTAGGGAGGTTTTGGCAGCTACGGCTCTCGGCCAGGCAGTAGCAGCAGGAGCAGTACTGGTAGCTACGGAGGCGCCACGGACGGCGGCAGTTGGGGATCGTACGGCACTGGGCCGAGCTACACACAGGAGCCCGTTCCTGGCCTGGTAGGTACAGTGTGCTAGGCGGGGTGTGTGAGAGCGCGGCTAATCGGCTGCTGGAAAAGTCGGCACCGTGATATCCCAACCCGGGGAGCGAAAGCAGGGTAGGGGTTCCTGCAATGGGAATGTTTTATCTTTTTTGATTTTACTTTTTTTGGTAGTTGAAGGAGGATGCAGCCCACTACCAGCCCTCTCCGTACAGATGCCTCTTCTGCAGAATACAGTTATATCCCGGTAGTTGATTAAGTTACGGCTAACGGACAAGACCATGGATGCCTCAACCAGGATGCATTTGTTGGTGTGTGCATAACTACTTGTTGCTTGTTACATTGCCATGTTGCTGCTGCCGCAGGATGACCTTGTTCGCGAGCTCGAAAAGGAGTTTACGGCGTGGGTTAACGAGCGAGACAGGAGCGGTAAAAGTAAGAGCCTACTCGAAGAGCTCGAGGACATTGGCGAGGTGAGGGTTGGCTGTTGGGGTTGGCTGTCGGGGTTGGTTGCTAGGGTTGGTGTGCATTTTACCCACCATGGGTGGTGTCCATGGTGGGATAGGAATGCAATTCATTCTACATCCCTTTGCCCAGTCCAGGAGCTGTTGGACTTCCTAGAGGAGACATTGGGTATAAAGGATGAGAAACCCGAATCGAGGGCATCGGGGGGATCAGGCGCCACCTCCCAGAACGCCCCACCGCGAGACACGCGGTCAGCTGCAGAGCGTTTCGATGACATTTGGAGGCAGTACGGCGATGGTGCGACGCCCGGCTATAGTACCAGCAGCACTGGTCGCAGCTCCACAACGGCTGGAAACAGCGCCACCAAGGCTGGGAACAGTAATACTGCCTCCGGAACAAAGAAGGACGCTTCAAGCGGCAGCCAGCGCCGAGAGGGAAGTTCGTCGTCGTCCTCGACCAGTTCTAATGGGTAGGTGGTAATGCGAGCGATGCAGCCATGTCGGGAATTTTCTTGAGAACAATGTCGCGGTACCGTACTCGGTCACAGGCAATACTTTACCGGGGAGGCTCATGTGGGATTGATTGCGTTGTCTGCCTTCACTGCTTCCCGTCATTTGCAAGCTTTCATGGCTTCATACTTTACATCAAAGAAAAATTCGCTCCAGGAAAGGCCAGCGGCACTGCCATGACCTGCTGTCATTCTGTCTTGCTAATTCTGTTTTTTGCTGTAATAGGTTATACTAATCGTATAGCGATCACCATACAAGACCGGTTAACAACAGCATGACGCTGCTGTTCGGGTTTGCTGTTGTTCGGGTTTGCTGTATGATCTGTACCCTCCCGTCTGCCGCTAGTGGATGCAAAGGAGTAAGTCCTGTGCGCATATAAGCCTTCTCAACAGTCTGTCACTAGCCTTCTTTCCCCCTCTCTTGTAAACTCAGGTTTGGAGCACAAGGACAAGCTGCTGAGCGCTCAAACAAGGATGATATCGAGGCGCAACTTTTGGCATTGAAGAAAAAATTCAACAAGCTCTGAAGAATGTCGTTTTTGGTATTGCATGCGTGCTTGTATATCGCAAGGTTTGCTTGTATACGAATGGACACGGCATGTGTAACGCAAAGCCTATTCACGCATTACAGGCACAAGCGTTTCATTCCCTTACAGACTTAGGCACATCCCAATTGAATCCTCCTGGGGCCAAAGCAATAACCAGCCATATGTCCCGCTTGCTACCCAAGCTCCATGACCGCCACAACCACTTCACCATCCAAGTTCAGTAATTTCCACGTAATAATATCCACCTTACATCTCCGGATTGAACTGGAAGCGCCAGCTTAAAATGTACACACCTTTGCCGCGCGCGGCGCTGAAGGCGGCAATCTTACTCAAACACAACGCCGCATGCAATCCACTGCACGGCAAGTGTGCTTAACCGTAGTTGAGGCGGAACATGTCTGTGGGAAGGGACGACATGGCGGGAAATCGGGTTGCGCCTAGGCTGGTACGAAGTGGGGGGGGCATCTAGCATTGACGGGTGGACCTATCACCATACGCAACACTGTTACATGCCTGCATCCGAGAAGACCCTAAGTGTACCCAGAACGTAAAAACACCTACCCGTATATTAGTACTCACCGTTAGTTACCACAAAGCTGCTAGCCGGCGTAGGCATGAGGTGAAATGCCTGGCTGAATTTCAAAGGAATGCTTTCCCCCTCGGGCTGCGTGCAGTGTTATCACGCCGTCAGTAATTGTGGAGTCACCCCCAATGCACGAACAAGTGTCCGCTGAATGAAAAAGGTCCAGCATGAATCCCAGTCGCATGTTCTCACCATCAGCTTGCCCGTCACGAAAATGAGGATGCCGCCCGAGATCGACGGCTGGATATCAACGGTGTCCCGCTGCACTGCAACCTTTTGAAAGGGCATCGTCGTCAGCTTGTTGATAATGTTCTGTTGGCCCTGGAACTTTGCCCCCTCGAACGTGAGGAGACTGGAGTCCTGATAGAGGCTAGCCAGTGCAGCGCGATTGGTTGCGAACAGGTTGTAAAAGTAGTCCAAGAAAGCCTGCAGCCAATTCCATGCAAGGCTAAGTGATCAAGCCGAGCGCGGCCAAGGAAGGCGGTCACCCAGAGATGTCGCAGAGTTTTGTAGTCCAATATTTCCAGGCCGTTCACCTCCCTGACCCTACTTACGTTGCCTACGGCCTCTGGATTCGCCATTTCCCACCGGACACAAGGACCACACTGATCACCAAGCTAGCGCCCCTAGACCCCGCAGTGGGTCAGCGCACCGTCACCCCAACAGAGTGTAATCAACAGATGACGATAAAAATACTATTTCGGGAGAGGAGGCGGTCCAAAAGTCTAGAAGACTTTCACGGTCCGTACAATTTCATAGTCCCGCAAACCTTACGCGGTTGAATGTTTTGCGGGAAAAGACTCTGGAACATCGCCAAGATTTTTGAAATTCGAAGCCGCGATGGCAATTATCTGCAAGTGCAGTACCGATGTTCGTGCTGTCCGTCCACTTCGGTCGTGCAACCAGCCATCAGGTAACATGACGCCAAGTTATCATATGCAACATCGAGACATCGCTGGTCGACCGACGGGGCCCCCGGCTGAAGGAAGCGAGCATTTTGACTGCTTCTTCCCGCTGGCAATGTATTGCTTGAACCGCATCAGAAAGCTTGGGTTTCAACCCGTCGCATTCGCTTGGCAATGTGCCAGGCGCGGGCTTTTACAACCCCAATGTCCAAAAGACTCAACTGCCTCAAGCAAGGAGCTGACGGTGCGCATTCGTGAAGGAATTTAAATGAACAGCTTGTTGCCAGCATTAAAAATATATTTGGAGGGTAAAGTTCTTGCTGTTCTTCTATACCTGACGCCCTGCACATCAATCGCGACCATCAAGAAATGCCCTTGTTGGGAGGGTCTTCCTTCTTCTCTCGGGTCGTATACAATGAGCGAAATATAGCGTTTGGAGAACATTGCCAGGGGAATGTGCAAAATATTCTCTGTTGCATGTATGGTATATCATTTCTTTCATAGGGAATGCTAAGGGGTTGTCCAAGCTTGGGATTAGCGCCTAACAGTACGGCGTTGTGTTTGTTGGGGCCAGCTAAATCCACAAGGGGTTACTAATACCAAGGCAAAATCTCCGGCGCTAACCCCAAGTGTAGAAACCCTGGATATAAATTTGGCAAAGTGGATCTTAGCACGTCCACGACGCGTCTTATGTCTTCCCACATCTTTACAACTGGGTGCTCGAGCACTCTTGGGATCGTTCTTCTCAATCAATCACGTTATACCGGCTCTTACAAAGGCTGGCATAGGAAATACCCTAAGCACAACGTTCGCACCTGTCCATGTCGAGCATGTCTGCTGCGACGATGCCCACAGAGATCCCATGACCACTCGTCACAGCTTATGCGGAGATGCTATGGGAACCCCCTGATGTGGCAAGCGGAGGGCGCTTGTATGGTTTCCGGTTATTAAACAGCAAGGAAAGAGAACACCACAGCCGTGGGAATCAGTGCTTCAGTTTAGCAGCCCCCGCGTGAGCCCAGCTGCGGCTGGCACTTCGACAGCCGTCACCGTCAGCTACATACGGAGAGAAATCAGTTGGCGGCCCGGCACACATGTAAATCCTGTAAGAGCCAAAGGAAGACGGTCCCGGCGCATTTCAGACCCGTCGACCAGAGCGTCCATGCTATTAGACCCCCCCCCCGCGCTTCCCGCGGGAGCAAGGCTCAAGGCTTCAAACCGGCGCCGTACTGACGAAGGAAAGCAGGCAATGGTAAAAGAACATCGGCAATTCAATATCACCACCACGGCTTCGCCCCTTCAGGACTCCCTTAATAAAAACAAACCTTCCAGCAATTTCGCATGTATCTAAGTCCCCTCCACCACAGAGAAACGCCTCTGCGAGACGTCGCTGCAGTCGGCGTCCATGATGTCGACATCATACCTCTTAACCATATGCGCACCGATCTGCGGAAAACTAGTGCAAGGGGACACCATCATGACTAGGTAAGCCTTGGGAGGATCCGTACGCGCATCATAGCACGCACCTCCCCAAACAACAACACACCTGCGACCATGTCAACAAAAATAGTTCTACAAGAAGTTCACTACAAAACGCACACACGCACAACTGATCAGCACGACAGCATTAAACTGCTGCACACCTCCTATTATGCAAGCCTTACTTGCAGAAACGACCCAATGCAAAAAACTCTCCTCGTTCTGGGGATGGTTTGTCCTAAAATATATGCAATGCTTCACCTATTGACGCTCACCTAGACAACAATACCCATCTCAACCACCTCGCCACCTCCTTGAAGCCCCCCTTCGTCATCTGCATCAGAGCCGCGCAGAAACACCCCTGCCCACCAAAAGGAGGGCTATCCCCTTACAACACCCCAACCGAGCAAGCACCACCGCGACAACGTAATAACCGCACCATAACCGCTGCCGCCACTCCTACAGCGCCTACCCAACGACGTACAGCCCATCGCTAACTTACTCCTTGTCATCAAATCAGCGCATATTTAAACAATTGGCTGGAGTAATAGCTTTTTACGAACATGACGTCCGATTTGCTGACACGCGGATGTAAATGCAAACAGGGCCCGAGCCCTCCCCTGAAGACCACACTCGGCTGTAGCAGCAGCTGTAGAAGTACAGCAGTAATAGCAGCAGCAGTAGCAGAAAAAGTAGCCGCAGCGGTAGCAGCAGCAGCAGCAGCAACAACAACGCTGCGCCTCCTGCCGCTTCATGTCCAGCGCACCTCTTCCTTAAGATCTCCTTAAGCAAGCTATGGACATGCGCCGTACGACAGGCACGTCCGTGGCGGCCCACTCATACATAGTTCATGCCTAATAAGTCCCTAATAGCACACTCTCGTATTACATCTACCAGCCATGGATTGGTATGCATGGAATAGAACGAACAAGGAAGCTGACATTTTCGTGATGCGTGCGCCGGTCTCACTTCTCTCTAGTTGCTTTCACCCCTACGGCAGCTGGTGCCGGGACAACAAAGCTCAGCGGAGCGAAAGGACTCGGTGGGGAAAAGAAAAAGTGCAAGCTCACTGACCCAAAGACAACGGCGACACCTTTCTCCTGCCCTGAAGCCATACAAGAGGCCGGTGAGGCCGAACGCCAATGACGTCCCGGGAACCAGGATCGCGGCACCGCCTAAGCGCCATCTGGGGGTCCAGCGGGCTATGAGACCGAGAAGAGCTTCAGAAAGGAGCACACGAGGAGCGAGGGGGGGGCCCGCAGAAGACGCGGATTGAGAACAGACCCAGACGCGAAGGCGCGGAGGAAGAGGAGTTGCGGACAGTATGCACGGACAGAGAGCCGGGCGCGGCGTGGCGCGGCGTGGCGTGCTGTTCGTCGGCCTGTCTATTTAACAGACAAGATGTCCACAAAGCTATGCCGTACCAAGACCACGCGGTTTCCTTCCCTTCCTTTCCCTTCCCTGACCGCTAAACGTTCCTAGCTACTCCCCTAACTCACTAGCTAGCAGTCAACCGCATGCCATACAGCCAGCCAGGCGAGGGGATGCTAACTGGAATCGTCCTTCCAGAAGCAGGCCCGGCCACAGCCAAACAAAACACGTGGGGCGGCTACTACTGTTGACTCCCTTCCTCACTCCCTCGCTGCCTTGCATCTGCCTAGGATCCCTTCGACACTGCTACTGATGCGTCCATCTGCGAGCGAACGAACGAATGAAGGAACAAACAAGCGAACTGGCAGGCGGGCGCGCTCTGTCTACTGGGCTAGAGACCTGGACACAAATTGCGCTCAGCCAACGACATGGGAAGCAAGAGCGCTGGTGCCATCGCACTGCCAGTCTGCCACTTGGTCATTGCTCCGTGCAAAATGGAAAAGATATAGCGATGACGGGAAAATGATGACAACCATGCTTGCGGCCGGCTTGGTATCAGAGAAGGTCATGACGATGGCGATGATGGTGATCGGGGTGGTGCGTGTTTCGTCCACCAGCCGACACCGCCGCCTCCATTTACTGTCCCAACCAATTTAGAAAGAGACCCACAGCTTTCCACCCACGCCGAGTCCCATCCCTTCCACAGTGCGGCCAGTTCTCCACCTCTTTTCTGGATCCTCTCGTCCGAGTACTCTGTGACTGTGATCGACTATGACCTAGAGGCGCATCTGCCGCGGCCCACCCGCACCAAGGCCGGTCATCTGCCTGGCGTACGGTTCTGTAAGGCGGGCATGATACGACGGTGGTGATGGCCAGTGGTAGACACGCCATGTGAGCTCTGGCCCTTCGTCCCTTGGCCCCAGGTCCAGGCGGCCCCTTTTGTCCTCTCATCCGGCCCCCCAGCCCCTCCGCGTCATCATCACAAGTCCAAGTCCTGCGTCTTCCTTTTCCATACATCCCCGTTGCTTTACCAAAGGCCACCTCTCGCGCGCCCTATCGAAACCCGAGGTGCCGCCGGGGTGGGAGCAGCAGCCGCGCTGCAATGCCACAGGCCATTCATTCGGGTAAAAACCCAACCCCGTAGCGCAAAAAAAAACCATAACTGCTCTCTCCCACCCGCGAGCCCATTCACATCAAACATCTGCAGCAGCGAGGTGCTGTTCTCTGCGATGCCTCTCTGAGAAAACTATGTTTAAAACGCCTTTGTCGCAGCGTATGCCTTTTGGAAATAAGCGGAGCGGAGCGGTGCGGTGCGGTGCGGTGCTACCTCCTGTACAAACTGCTACACATCGTCTCCTCGGCCGCTCCCAGTCAGCCTAAAAAAAACACCACCTATCTAGCTGTACCGTGTAAGTCGCTGCAGCTGCGACCACTTGGTGTCCGCCTCCCCCTCTTCATCTGGCCCTGGCAGCACCACTTCACTCGTTCGTGGTTCGACTTTCCCCCTGTTCCTCTTCATCCGCAAAAACCCGACCCACGCATGTCCACTGCTACACACCACCTGCGGCCCCCGTCCCACCTGCAGCTACGCAATCAATACCCCGCATATGAAGCTACACGGCCGCATGATGCTACACGGCCGGCATATGAGGCCACAGTACCCGGCGATCGCAGCAGCACCAGCTCATTGCAGCACACCAGCCGACTGCCGATGCACCAGCCGTTGTTGCGTCGGCTCGCAAGCAAAGGGCATCATGCGACTACCCGGGATCGGGACAGCGGCACCAGAGGGCAGGAGGGCAAGCTGAGACGAGTTACTGTCCACGCTGCAATGCTTTCTGACCTCATTTTCAAACCGCAGCCCGCTCCCCCTCCTCCCTCTCCTTCCCCTCCCCTTCCTCCCTCTCCTCTTGCCTCTCCTCCTCCACCTCTTCTAAGGAGCTTCCATCAGGGGCTGGTCGGGATCGATCAAGCACCCAGCAGAGGGCGTAGAAGTCACGCAGCGCCCCGTCCACGCAGCGCCTCTCTCTCTCCCGGCGGTCTCTCGGGCACCATCACCGCCCGACGACGGCAGCCAGCGAGCAAGCGGCCTACAAGCTACACCATGCAAACTGCTGCGCCACCTCACGTCGTCACAAAACTTCCGGTGTCTTCTTGGGTCAGATAGCTCCGCTCGGAGCCCGGGAAAGCGAGTAAGCCCCCTCCTGCGTTCCTCGACGCACCTTCCCGGCGGGGCAAAGAACCTCGACAACAAAAGAAACGTTGTGTGTACGAACTGATGTGGTGTTTTCTGACCTCTGCTCCGCGGAAAAACGCCTTCGAGCAGTCAGCAGCAGCAGCAGCAGCAGGAGCAGCAACTGTCCTACAAGCTCCTCCGAAAACCCCGATGTCCAGATCATCCCAATGTCCCTTTCCAACGCCACGATCCGAGATTAAAAACCTGAGCCGGTATCGTCCAGTTCGAACCAAACCCAACCAACCAAGCCATCGCAGCTGCAGCCATGGACCCTGCCGAAGACGAAAGGCAGACAGGAAAGCGGCAGGCGCCAGCCACCCATCCAGACCAGTCACGTTGCCCACCTGCGCATCTATTCGTCTGCAGTTATCTCCTGTGTACCTTCCACTGGCCAAGTAGTAGCAGCAGCAACATCGACCACCAGAGCGTGAAAAGTGTGCAATCGCGACAGGGTGCCACAGGTGAGCACCCGGCACCCGGCCTCTCAGGCGCGCTGTGTGCTGCTACAGGTGTTGCAGCGGCGGCAGCAGCTAATGTGCCCAGATACCAGGTAGGCAGACATGTAGAGGCAGCTGGCGGCCGCCTTTCTTCACGCTTCCCCGCGTGTGTCATCACGCCGCCACGCGCCACGAGCTTGCCACGATTCTCGCCCATGTGGTGCTACAACGTAAAACTGCTCCTCGCCAGCCAGACGGAGCTCCGAAACCAAGGCCGCAGCCGCAACCGCAGCCGCAGCAGCTTCGGGCGAAGGGCTAGGCCAGCACCAGGACAATACCAGGACCTACGGAAAAAGCCTCCCCCCGTCTCTCCACGGAGCATGGGCTCGGCGCTCCCACGCGCAAGGCCGTCTGAGCTCCGAAACCAAGTTACCGGGCTGCCCGCTAAGCCACGGCGTGGCTCTGACGCGGCAGCAACGCAAATGGCGAAAGTGGTGTTATCGCGCCAGGTCCTCGCAAAGAGTCCGCACCGCCTCGCGCGCGTGATGGATGACCCGTAGCCCCGGCGTCATGCCCACGTCCATGCACACCGCTGCCAGATGCATGCACACCAGCTTGGCCTGCTGGTCGTGGCGCACGTCGGGCCGTTCTAGAAAGGCCTCGAAACTCTTACAGGAACGCTTCATGTACTCGGAAAAGCGCCCTGTCGTACGGGCGTAGCTGAGCAACTCCGAAACCTGCTCGTGGCCAAAGCCAGCGAGCGGCTGCGGAGCGGAGGAGGAGCCGCCGCCACCGCCGCCTGCGGCGGCGGAGGCGGTGGTAGCGCCGGCCGCGCCAACATGCGCGACGTGGAGAGAGGAAGTGCTCGAGTCCTCTGGCGAGGGCTGCTGGCCGCTTCCGGATGGGCCAGCTACGCTCCGAAACCATTAGCAAGAGAGCAGGGGAAACCCAGAAGAATGAATAGAAGAAGATCATGGCTAAGAGAGATGCGATGTGAGGCGGTGGCGCGGGAAGGACACAGTCCGAGACGCAAACGTGTTGTAATAATAACACCGCTGCTGCTGAGGCCTAAGAGCCAAGCAGCCGTCAAAGGCACCGCCACGGGGGCCCAAGCGGGGTGTAGCCAGGGCAGAGGAGAGAAGTAGGGAGCGAACCCCGGGCCAATACAACAGAGACGAGACACACATCCCCCACCCACCTGCCCCCTGGGCCGCCTGTTGCCGCTGATGCTCCCGCAGCGCTGCCTGTGCCTTTTCCGACAGCGCCTTGAAGTTGGCGGTCATCAGCGTGGTGTGGCGCAGCAGGCAGAGCGCGCACAGTCGCTCCGCCAGCAGCCTCAGCGCCTCCTTACCGATGCCGTTGCCGCGTATCGTGTCGGCGTTGGCCACCGTGTGGACCAGCAGATCGGCGGTCTGACGGTACAAGTCCGCGACGTACCTGAAGGCGATCGCGTGTGCATCGGTGTTCGGTGTCCGCGGCGCAGGGAAGGCAATCGCGTGTGAGATGCTTTAGAGTAGGCATCACATGCAAAAGTCAAAAGGAAGCGACTGCCTCGACGTCCAGAGTGCCAAAAATGCCCCGGTGCGACTGCCCAAACGCCTCATTCGGGTGTAGGAAAGGGATTCACGTGTGAGGTGTGAGGTATGGAATGAGGTCGGAAGGGGCGATGTGGCTTTCGAGATGAAAAAAGGGGGCAAGACGGTCAGGTGCGTCAAATGATGGCACGGAATGGTGACCTGCGGATTCGACCATGGGGAGGAGAGGACGGTGAAGTGATAAGGGGGGACTGGAGGGTAAGGATGCGACTTCATCGAGGGCGACTTCATCCTAAGGAGGCATCGGCGGGGTTCAACACGCGCTCAGCGCAACGTTGGGCTTGAAGATTAGGACACGTTGGACAGATGCGACGAAGCACCCGGGTGGAAAAAAAATGTGATCAGGGAGAGAGGGAGGGAGAGAGAGGAGGAGGGAGAGAAAGAGGGGGAGAGAGAGGGGGGGGCAACGCAATGCTCGCATATTAACCACAACAGCACCTCAACAAACCGCCACACCTCGACGTGAAGCGCTGATCCCGCCGCTGAAGAATCGCATCCGCGGTCTCCATGAACATTAACGATGCCGTCACGTACTTGGACAACGACTTTATCGTCCAGACTTTCAAGTTGCTATGAAACAGCTGATCGCCCTGGCGCTTCACACGCCGCGCCTCCTCCAACTGTGTGTCAACCTGCCCTTCAGTTGCAAGCTTGCGGTTGTCCCGTTCAAGCTGCAAGTCAAAAGGCCCAATGTTTTGAAAAGACAGGGCAGTGCCAGAGAGACGCGGAAGTTCCAAGAAGGAAAGCGGAAGCACGGGGAACTCGCGCTGCGAAGTCTGGGTCTCCACAGAGACACCTGAGGGTGCCTTGGGCGCCTTCCCCGCTGCCGTGGCGGGCTGCGGCCGACCACTTGTAGATGGGACGTCACTGCGCGCGGACCCGCTGGGTCGGCGTGAAGGTGAACTGGGGTCTGCGGCGCGCGCCGCTGCTGCTGCTGCTGCTGATAAAACTGTCCGAGGCTGCGGCGGCGCAGCCGCCGCAGCTGCAGCTGCAGCGGCGGCGGCAGAGCTGCCACGAGGTTCCTTCAGATTTGCTGACGCCGCAGCTGCAGCCGCGGCCGCGGCGGCTGCTGACATCTTGGCGGACCCATAGAGGCGGGTGCGCTTCAGGCCTGCCGCCTCGGGCTCTGCTGCGGTGGTCAGGGAGGATTGGCCCGCACAGCTGTCCCGCGGTTGGATCGCACGAGCAGGTCCAGCTGGGGCCCCTCGGCCTGCACCATCGCCGATATCATCTGGCGAGAGCGGCAGATACGCCTGACTATTCGTTGCCTGGTCTGAATTGCTTTCGCCGCTGCCGACAGCAAAAATAGCTGTGCGCGTATTGCTTTCCCCGCTGCCGACAGCAATGATAGCTGGGCGCGTAATGCTTTCACCGCTGCCGAGAGCAAAATTTGTTGCGTGCGTGTGGTTGTCCCCGCTGCCCGCGACAGGAATGCCTGTGTGCTCCGGTGTGGGGTCGGGTTTGGCAAGGGGTTGGTGCTTGATCCCGTTCACGGCTTCGAGTCGGACGGCCCAGGATCCGAGGCCATCCCGACGGGTCGGCCCCGCGGCCGCGTCCGGGCAGGGAACCTGACAAGACTGCTTGCTGTCATCCTCCGCGCAGGACAGCTGTCGGGAGCGTTTAGCAGGCCGCTCTTGGGCTTTGGGGATACGCGGGGCCTGCGTTTGACCCGTGAAGAAGCTGAGCCGATGCTACAGCGAAAGGTTTAGGCAACACCGCGCCACGAAGCGCCGCAAGAGGGATTTGTGCTTACCGTAAAGTCCCAAGGTGGAAGCTCAGAGCCGGGCGCAAAGCCTTCCCCATCCCGGAGCCGCGCGACTGCAGCACGACAGTATGAAAGGCATTGCAAGCCAACCACCGAGTTTCGCCTCGCCTACGAGCTTGAAACGCACCTATTGCATCAGGAGTGGCACTTGGCGGAACATAACCCTGAAGGGACGCCTGCCTGAGCCTTGCCAACTGAAGCGCTGAGCCTGCGTCACGGGCAGCCCGGTGCGTTGCCAACGACCCCAAGCGCAACTCCGGCAAATTTCCAATCATACCTGGTTTTGCGTCTTTGCTGTCCTGAGATGCCGAGCTCACCAGGCCTGCATGCCCCACACCCAGTCAGCGACGGGGCATGAGAGGCAGCACCACAGAGTACGTTCAAGCGTCGCCGACCTGGAACCCGAACAGCATGCGTAGCCAAAAGCTTGTTCCCGAACTTGATTTTCAATCGGCGCACCGGGGCCCGAGCTGCTGGGTCCTCAGACATTTTCGCCACCTGCGGACTTCTCGACCGGCCCGCTGCGTGCTGGCACTGCGAGTTTGTTTCGTTTATAACTGTCACATGGGTAGGTAAAAATTTGGTATTCGAGCGGGTGGCTATGAGAAAAGTGGGTGCTTCATTAACTTTTAGATTCAGCAGAAACCGGGATGGCCAGATTCAGCGTAACCATAAGAGTATGACTATGTAGCATCATAATGCTATTCATAAATAACATCACAAAATCCATTTCATTCGGCTGAAGTGTTTAGTCTCATGACAGTACGTTCCCCGTAGAGGTAGATTGTACCCCAGGGCGTAAAGTCAGAATCATTGCTATTGTTCCACTTGAAGATTGCAACCATGAAACCAGCTAGGGGCGCCATACTGGCGCAGCTGGTGCTTTTGTTTGCGACGCTCGGAACTTTTACACAGGCTTTAGAGTTTGAGATGCAATCCCAGATTAAATGTGTTTACGAGGAGATTAATAACAATGTGATCGTAGTTGGAGACTACAGATCGCTGAGCAAGGACCTTAACCAGCCGAGCCCACCGGTCACAGTCAAGGTCAGCGACCAGACCATGGCTGAAGCGCATGCTACGGATGCAGGATTGTTCCCAACAAAATTGCTCTTGACTCTGCGGCCTATGCTGCTCTTATTCGAGGTTCTGATCAGGACTTACTGCAACAATCCTGCTCAGGTGGAAGACCCCCACGGAACAGTTTTGCATGAGGCAACAGGCAAGACGGAAGGGCAATTCGCGTTCACAAGCAAGACGGCTGGGGAGTACAAGGCTTGTTTCTCGGTTCTAGGTACGTGTGTAACAGACGTGGAAGATACACGGACATCGCCAGCTTGGACCTCACAATGCGTGCAAAAGGCACCTTTTGTGCAACGTAATAGCGCAGCAGCATTATAGCTTTCCCCCAACCCCGCTTTACCACTTCGCTCTCTGCGCGTACCCCACATGGTACGTCGCGGCAGGTCATAGCGTTCCCCTTTATACACGGTGTGCAGCACTGCGCACTGCGTCTGTGTGCGGAAGCGACACGATGGCGAGGTCTTACTCGTGTATATGTGCGTTTGCATTGCGCTCCCCCTTCCCTGCTCCTGGTTCTGGCCCACCGGCACCTTCAGACATTCAAACCGCTTACCAGACCAAGCTAAAGCTGGACTGGCGCACGGGTGTGGCCGCAACTGATTGGAATGCAATTGCAAAGAAGGAGCATCTGGACGCCCTCACGGTCGAGTTGCGAAAGCTGGAGGTAGGACGGGAGGACGCCACCCTCCGTGCGTGCCGACTCATAGGCCGACGGTGGTCGCACCAAAGGACCACCCATTTCGCGTCATTGACTGGGAGCAGTCACTATTACGATTGGGAATAGTCACCTGAACCTGACCATCCCAACGTTTCTGGTTTGGGATCGCACAGCAGCATGTGAATCTCCTGGAAACGTGTTTTACATGGTGGCCGATTCGCTGTTCACGAACCTCCTGAGCGTAATGTCCCCCAGTCTCACTACCCAGTCCAATGTCCTGGGGACCTGGATTTGCCGCCGCCGGACGTAAAGTCGATCCACCAGGGCTATTAAAAGTAGTAAGCGAACTGCTAACAATTCACCGATGGACGGGCGGGCTGACGGACGAAGAGACGGAGTTGATTGGTTGCCTGCTGGTCCCGCTGTTGCTCAATGTTGTGGCAGGACAATATTCGCGAGGTGTACAATGAGATGCTGCAACTGCAGCAGCGCGAGCAGGAGATGCGCAACATCAGCGGTGAGGCAGGCCCCTCACACCCTAAGAACGTGCCGGGAAAGCTGGGGGGACGTGGTTTGAGGATATTTGTCGGGGGGCACCTGATGGGGGTTAGCTGGCCACATAAGGCCCGAACCACATCTGGTTGAAACGTCATCTTTGATGGGAGGTCTGGGCAAGCCTGGATCTGGTACCTATACAGCAGCTTCGGGTGAAAGTGAGGCAGATTAAAAACCCTTTATGCAACGGCCGCACGAACTTGCAGCTGGCAAAGTGCTTGTGGAAAAGGAGTGATATGCGAACGCTACCCTGACCTTGCACAATGGTCCGCCTTCATCTGCACGCAGAGGAGACCAACACCCGGGTCGCTTGGTTCAGCATTGCCTCCCTCGGCGTGTGCGTGGCTTCGGCGCTGGTGCAGCTCTGGTACCTCCGCCGCTTCTTCAAGCGGAAGAAGCTGCTGTGAGCGCCGCGTTGGCAACCTTGCGTTGTGGCGACAGCGGCTGCGGCGGCGACACATTGGACCGGACCGGATGCCGTGGGTTGGGGTGGGCAAGGGGGGAATCTTTCTTCACTGGGCCACAAAATGTCTGTGAATACAGCAGCACCTTGTGTTTGATGTGATGATTTGAAGCAGCTGGTACTTGTCCGGACGCACCAGTGTGGCGGCGGCAGCGGTGATGCCGTTCGGAAGAAACCGGCAGCACCGTCCGTCAACCAACATGGTGTTGGTGTTGGCTTTGTGAGAGCTCGAGTGACTGGCTGGAATGTCGTTGCTAGAGTCGAGGCCCGAAATACTGTGCCCTCGGGAAGGTAGCGCCGGAGGACCTTTCTTCTGTATTCAGCTTTAAGATGGTGAGCGTATTTGTGTTCTTCTTCGGTTTCCCCGGTTGAGCTTCCCTTCCTCTTGGGACTGCTTCCCTAATGCGCTGCGCCTCCTCCCCCTCCCCCTCCTAAGCGGCTGTGTACCCGCCCCAGAGGGAATGGAGCCATAGGGCTCGTCTCCCGGGCCCTACGTTTGGCCTCTGCCCTCCTTGTAAGGTCACCTAATGAATACCGGTGGCCATGTCTTGGCCGTAAAATCTCGTATGCCACCCGCGTGCGGTGCAAGGGAAGACCCCACCCTTGGGCAGGAGGGGGCCAAACCTAAAGGGTGTAGAATGGGGGCTGGGTGGGTGCAAGAGTCTCTTGGGCGCAGCCTTGCGCTGTGTGCACCAACGGCTGTGCTGGCACTTGACTGACTGCGTGGGTGAGGGTGGAGGGGGACCCCTTATGCCTGAGAGCTGCACCGCCCAGCGCCGGGCCTGGGGTAGGGCGTTACAATTGTAATGTGGTGGTCGCAGGGCTTTGGATCCTATGTGCTCCTTGAAGGGGTGAGCACGGTCGGTAGGAGGCTTTGGGGGACCCGATAGGCGGTTCACCTGCTTTCGTGCAGCCTGCTTGCCGTTTGGCATGGAAGGATTCGGCGTCAGGAATCCCGGTCCCCTCTTTTGCGTTAGCTGGTGGTGGGCTTTGGCGAACGGACATTGGTAATGAAAATTGCAATATCCCTAAGGCTCTTGTGAACCGTTGCGAGCGGGCGAATGATGTCTGATGGGCTCTGACGTCTGACATTGGGCTTTCGTATTTGCGGGCCTTTTCGCGGGGTGCGGCCGGAAGTGGTAAAATACGCAAGCCAAGAATGAATGCACGTTGAAAGATCACTGGGCATGCATACCCTGGAAGCGAGGAGTCCATTTTTTTATAATTCGTGACCTTGTCTTTGTGCATGGCGTTCTGTGTGTGCGTGTATGTGTGTGTGTGTTTCGACGCACATTCATTCATCCATCCATCCATCCATCCATCCCACAATGCGACAAAACACGACCCGTGGTGTAATGGCGGTCGTCCGTTCGGCGAGACGATACTCCCATGCGCTTCGGCCAGCTATTCGGATCCTCCTAGCCCCCTAGCTATTTGAATAACAGGTAACATATTTCACATGGTTAGGGACCCCAAACAACCCTAGCGCTGTACACATGCCGGGCGGCAGCGGCTCCTTATTAGAAAGCATGCAACTTTGCGGCCCAATGGATAAGGAGGCTATCTCTCTGCTATAGCCCTCCTCTGGCCACTGTAACACCACGCCAGCAGCTAATCCGGTTTAGCCGCGTGCCGTACCAACCGTCTGGTTTCGGAGGCCGCAGGGAAATGGAAAACTAACTCTTGAAGGCAGGGTGTATGTGTTTCAATTGACGTGCAACGCCGAGCAATAACAACCGATCTGGTCCCAGTCCCCGGCCTGATGTCCCTCTAATTTATTTTTTATGCATCAGGAAGGGGGTTATCCTTCCCTTCCCTGCACCACACCCCCCGGGTAACCCCAACCTAAAGAAATCCGCTCCGTCCTAGATGACAACAGTGGTCTTCATAACCCAGAACCTCCCTTCGTCGCTTCCCCGCCTCCCCCTCCCTCCGCCATCCCTCTCTTCAGCTGTCTGGAACCACCACCGTATAGTTGAGCGCCAGCCGCCCGCCATCCACGTACAACACCTGGCCCGTCATGTACGACGACGCCTCACTCGCCAGGAAGGCCACCACCTCCCCCACCTCGTCCGGCTCCCCGATTCGCCCCATGGGTGTTCGGGACAGGATGCGTCTGTGCGCCGATGCGTCGCTCGCCACGGACGCCAGCACGTCGGTTGCGATACTGTACGGCAGGAATGGGATTGCCGTACAACCGTTTGTGACACACACAGCAGGCAAACAAAACAGCCGCGCGAGCTTGGTACATCAGCGTAGAGCAAAACCCTATCGCCTGACATTTTAATACTAAGGTTAAGAAAGTATTGTCTAAAGAACGAACACAGTGACTGAACACAGGACAGACGAAATGAGGTTTGGCAGCTTCGTGACAGCCCTTTCCACGCTGCGGGAAACCTCCTTATAGCGCCCTTAAGCAATTTCACTCATCAAAGGCCGCCGAGCGCCCATGCATCCTCGCGACCTCCACCTCCATCAACAGGTGTCCGGGCCTGCTCCGTTCTTTAACGTCTCCGAACTACCGACTACCAACGACAACAACTACCCCAACCGCACAGTCGTACGCCAAAAATACCTGCCGGGCCCTACACCGTTGACCCGAATGCCGTGCGGTGCGAGAGCCAGAGCCATGGATCGTGTCAGACCGTTAACTCCGCCTTTGCTGGCGTTATAGCCCGCGATGGTGGGTATGGCCTGTGGGGCGGCGGTTGTGGCGGTTGTGGTTTTGACGGTTGTTAACTGACTTGGTAAAACATGCCGTCAGCTAAAATCGAAAAGTACGAAACGGAATCCTCCGCATGCGGGCAGAAGCACAGCACCAGGACAACGGAACGTTACGGGACCGGAAGCCTAGGCTTAGCTAAGCCGGCAGAAATAAATACGTTTTTTTGGTTGATGCGCAGGATCAGGAGCAGGAGCAGTGCCGCTGCGTCTCGCCTTCCCGCCCCCTCGCAAACACACACATACACACACATACACACACATACACACACATACATACACATACACACACATACACACACATACACACACATACACACACATACACACAGCCCCGCCACGTGAGGCACACGAGCACACGCACCATAACGGCATTTACTGAGGACATAGTGATGATGGCTCCTCCTGCCCAAGACGGATCAGCCTCACGCTGAGATACCATTTGCCGAGCGGCGGCCTGCGTTGTACGAATGTACGACAGTATACACACTTAGTAATAGTAGCGGTACAAGGATGTATTGTGCCATTGGAAAATGGGACGAAAAAAATGACATTTGGTGCTTGGGAAGCAACTCGGGGATATTATACCCGCGGCAACACGCGGCCATACAGTGGCTTAGCAGCTTTTCCATCCGGCAACTCTTCGATCTGGGAAGTCTTTCGAAAGTGGGAAGCGGGTAAGAAGCAGCAAATGAGCAGCGGAGAAAACCACCACGCACAGGGAGCTCCCCTAGAGGCTTTATTGGGTTTTATTAAGTCGGGCGGCGAGATTTCCCCTTCCGTCCACACCTCCGTCCCCCTCCCCCCCCTGGGTGCCACCTGACCTTACCTGACAGGAAAGGAAGACGCCTTTCAGGTTGACACCCACGACATCGTCGAAGTCCTGAGGTTAATAGCCGTGTCGTACTGATGTCAGGGTTAAAAGTGTGTTTGCCGTACACGGTTCCCCGGCATTCATTATCGCCCGCGCACTTGTGCGAAAAGCTTGCATATCTATCTTTTTATTTGTAAATTATTTTTTTGTAAGTTGTGACTTTTTGAAAGTTTTGGTTACGTGGAGCAGGGCGGTACGTGGAGGGGGGGGGGGAAGAGCGCAGCGTGTGTTTTATCAAAGATGCAGGAGACACCGTGCACCCCCACGCCACAATCAGTAAGCACGTACCGCATGGCCGCGGTAGAGACAGCTTTCTGGAAGTACGACAGCAGCACAGCAGCAGCAGCAGTAGCATCACACCAGCACGACAGCGGAAGGAGCACTAGCAGCAGCATTCGGGCGCTCACACCCCACTGCGAAATACACATTTACAAACATACATACATACATACATACATACATACATACATACTCACACCCACATTTGTCACGCTTACTTGCCTGTTCGGTCATGTCCAGGAAGGGCGCGGCCTTGACGATGCCCGCATTCGCCACCTGTGACCCCCCCCCAGTGTACGAGCGGTACGATGGCGCCGGCAAGGGGCCGGGTGGTGGGGGTTAGGGGGGTTAGGGGTGTCACGGGGGTAAACGTGGGTTTTACCAGGATGAGAATGAGAATGAGGATGAGGACAATGATTATTTTCGCGGACGCTAAAGGCATCACAGCAGCGAGGAGAAGGACGCGAAGGGTGAGAGCCAAGGTGGGTTGTTTGTAGCTACGTCATGGCGGAGCCGTACCCGCCGTACCCGCCGTACCCGCCGTACCCGTACGAGTGCCTTACCATTATGTCCAGCTTGCCCCATGTCGCCACTGCTGCTGCTACCGCGGCCTCGCAGTCCGCCTGTATGTATGGGGCCACCGTGAACACCCCCAGGGGCAGGTCGCTAGTCAGGCGGGTAGGCAGGCAGGCAGGCAGGCAGGCAGGCAGGCAGGCAGGCAGGCAGGAATGCTAAAGAGGTTAGGCAGGCGGGCAGTTAGGCAGGCGGGCAGGAAGGCAGGCGGGCAGTTACCCAGGCGGGCAGGAAGGCAGGCGTTTGGAGCTTTAGCGTTGTCCTGGTCTCCTTAGGGACCTTAGTGCCCTCAACACACCAACCAGCGGTTCTACTAATCACAGGAACTCAGGCACGCCGATCTCTGTACGGAACCCAGTGAAGTACGACGAAGGACTGTGCCGTACCTTAAGTCGTACATCACATTTCACCGCATGTGCTGCGTGTCCTGCCGTTACCAAATCCTGTGCGCTGCGCTGTGCGGCAGTAAGGTCCACGTCTGCCAGCACTACCTGCAGCCGTACGACAGCGTATATGGAAATTGTCGTACAATGTACGTGCAAGATCCGTATAGAGGTCATATGACGCCGAAACCATCTCGAAACAGGCTTAGATGCTAATAGGACAGCAAGACAGGGAACCCAAAACGCCCCAGAGGGCGGGTGAAGCGCAGAGTTGTCGGTTTCAGCTGAACGGGCAGTTGACATTTGACGTGCCTTGCAAGAGGTTAAAATGAATTGACCCTTGTCTTAGTGAAGCGAGGGCAAGGGGAAGAATAACTTACTTGCCTAGTCCTACTAAGGGGCGGCTGGGACGAAGCGGCATATTAGAGTCGCGGCATGTCATTGTCAACACATACATACATACTGAGAACAGCTGGAGAACGAGAAAAACTGTCATACAGTCGCATACGAGAGGTTTCGGCGATGTGATGGGCGATGGTATGGTCGTTGGTGGTGGGCTGCGCTGTTGGTGATGCGCTGCACTGTGCTCGGCGTTCAACTGGCCTTGAGAACTAATGCCGATGGTGCAAATATGAACTAAAGATAGTTCTTCTTCGCGTGAGGTGCGAGCACATGAGTCGTGGGAAGGGGGCACTTACGGGCAAGGCGGAGCAAATACAAGAAGAAAAGTAATTATGTACAACACCCAGAAATAACTGGGGGTCCTCAGCCTTCCCTTTCCTCGCGGTTTGACTGTCTTTTTGCTTTTAGTTGTCTCATCTGGGTGATTATCTAATTTGTATATTAGTCTCTAGTGCAGCGCACGGCCAGCTGGCCCGATGGCTCTACTCTTCGGGAGTCTGGAGCCCACTGTAACAAACACACACCCCGACGGTTCGTTTGTCCCGAACAAAGCAAGAAGCACAGCACGTCTTGTTCTTTGCGTAGCTATAGGATAGAATATGGAGTGTCTTAAAAACGATGTGCGTACCTTGGCGCCTTCCTTGCACAGGCTCCGCGCGCATCCATACCCGATACCTTTCGCTCCTCCCGTTACTACTGCGACTTTTCCTTGCAGTCTTTTAAGAGAAGTAGACACAAGAGAAGCCATAGTGGAACACTGCCTTCCTTCCCTTGAAACGGAAAATAGCGTGACCGTCGAATACGATATCGAAGTCTTATGTAATCAGCCCCGGCCTTCTCGAGTCTACTCAATAAACCCGAGTGTTTCAAATACGAGCTGTAACACACTAAAATGGATGGTCCTGCGTAAAAGCCCTAACGTACAGCTGTACGAGAAACGCCCGCATTTGCTGACACAAGCAGTCGATTCAGACTCGTCACTTTACGGTGAAATGCTTTCTGAGATTAACTAATGAAAAGGCTTCAATTTTAGCAATTTGCCTTTTAAGGCTGGCTTTTGTGGTCTGCAACGTGCAAGCGCTAGCGAGCCGCCTGGAACACTTTCAGCAACAAGCACAGAAAATATATTTAATTTACAGCTAAGATACTACAAACGGTCACTAACTCACCGCTGGAGAAAATGAACCTTGCTCTTCCCGCTTCGGCCGCCTCCACGTCCATCTCCCGTCCATGCCGCTCCATCCGCCGGCCCTTCAGCGGCAGCTGCCCTTCCTGTGCCCGCCTCCGTCCCGCAACCGCCCACTTTCCCACTACCTCCACTTCCACCCCTCCCCTCACCAACGATGACCCCACCCAGGCCGCTAGCCTCCCCTCTGGTCCCCCCCACGCGCCACCCTCCACCGCCACCTCGACCTCCGACCCTACCCCCACCCGCCGCCAGCTCCTTCTTTCCACCGTCGCCGCCGCCGCCGCCAGCTCCACCTTCCTCCCCTTCCCGCTAACGCCCGCCGCCGCCGTCGCCAAGCCAGCTGCCGTCGACGCAGGCGACTGGTCCTCCCCAGGTCTCGGAGCCCCCGTGGATCCCAACCAGCCCAGATTTGTGAAACTCCCCAGCGGCGTACGATTCCAGGAACTTAACATAGGCTCCGGGCCGGTTGCGGGCCCCGGCGACGCCGTACTGTTCGACTATGTACTGCGCCGCAGTAACGGCTACTTCATATACGGCACTGTGGAGGGCGTGTCTTTCCAACCTCTTGACGTCCCTACAGCGCCTGTGGCGGCCAAGTTGGGGAGTGGCGAGCTCGTTCCGGTAAGAGGGCTGTAAGAGCTTGTGTGTGTGTGTGTGGGGGGNGGGGAAAT